CTTCCATTTATATGAAATTCTCAAAAAATTAAAGTGAGTATCTAGTAGCAGATCAGTGCTCACCTGAGATCCAGGGTGGGGGACGGGGTGGAGGAGTTGTTGATTGCAAAGAGGCACTTGGGAGTTATTAGGGAATGGACAGTTTTTAACCCTGATATTTACGGTGGTTGCACAGCTGCATGAATTTGTCAAAATTCACAGCACTGTACAAATAATGAGTGCTTTTTATTATTTGTAAACTTTGATTTCATAATGTTGTTAATCTCCCCTCCAAAGTTGCACTCATTTTTGGTATTTCCCTTAATGACTTTTATTAGTTTCATAAGCATCTACATAGGGTTAGCAAGGCAGTATGGGTAAAAGTATTTGCATGTGGTTTTTACAATGTGGTTTTTAGAAAATTTCTCATTGTTATTAAACATAAATACCAAGTAGTCCAGTTTATGGTCACTAATGATTAGTCAGAATCCAGCAAATTACAGCATGGCTGGAAGGTCCTCTGTCAATACCCTATTAGCACTCAATGATGAAACATAGGTATTCTTTCCTCACGTTTGCCACTCTATAAATGTAACAGAATGGCCAGTTTCTATCATGGGAAATAGATATAATCTTGACACTTGGGGATTCTCTTAATACTGAACTAAGAAAACCCAGGAGAGTACACCAAAGAAAATACTGCCTGGAGAAAGGAAAGCCTTCCCCAGCTCTGATTTCCATTATTGAATAGGAGAAAGACAGGAATGCCCATAAGTGATCAGAATGGCTGTCTCAGCTCATGTTTCTTGTTGTGAAATCAAATTACAAACCAGAAACTTCATTATAGAATTTTCTTTGACTCCTCTAACAGGCATACTAAGCACATCATAATGAAAACTCATCATGGCATATGACTTTCTTCTGTTTATACATTTTTGCTCTATTCTTATCTTTTTTTATTTTGCAAGATGATGGACAGTACTGGTTTTGTAAAGGGTTATAAACATTATAAAAATTCAAATAATAAAGGATGGAAAAAGAAATGGAACAACTCAAAATCTCATTCAGTTATAGGGTTCTTTATGTTTAATGAGCTATATTCTAGAGGTGTTATAATACATGTTCAGACAAAATAGAAATAATTTAGAAAATGATACATGCTACTTTGAATAAAATACCAAGTAAAGCTTTCCTTGACTTTCACTTGATTTTGGAAGAGGCACTAAAATTAAACTGAAGGAACTGCTTAAATGCAGTAATTTTTAATACTCTTAGAGATTTTCTTTCCTAAGAGATCCCTCTAAGTTAAGTGGAAAGATTTGGAAAAAGTAAGAGGTGAATATGTGTGCATACCTGTGTGTATGTGCACATACATGTGCTGTGTATGATGTTGTTTGCATGTGTGCCTGCACATGCATATGTGTTTCAGTGTGCTTGCATTTTTCATTGTTTCCATGTGCATGTATGCATACACGTGTGTTTGCATGTGTGTTTACAAAAGTGTATTTTAGGGACTGGAGCCTCTGTGTTTGCACATAAATTGAGAAGGCCTACCTTGCATGAGAAAGCCTTAAGTTTTGTCTTAGAAATTTGTACATATCACAAGTTCTTCTTGGTTATTGCTTTGGAGAAATCTAGGAATAGTCTGAAATTTTCACTTGTTTTGATTTACTTTGGAAGTGTAAATGTCTCTCTTTCTATACTTGATATTTAGTAACTTCATCAAAATATATTTCAATATTGATCATTCTGTCTTTTTCCTAACATGTGATATAACCTTTTGAATTGCAAGTTCAAATTCTTCTTAATTTCAGGGAAAATAATACCCTATTTTGTTAAGGTAGTATTGACTTTTGTAAGTGCTGTTAAGGTAATATTAACTTTATAAATAATTGTCCTTCTGCCGTGACCTCAAACTATTACATTAAAGCTTAATTTTCTTGAAACAATTTTCTTTAAGTTGAATAATAGGTATAATCTATTTTTAAAGCTTTAACATGCCTACAAAGTCCACCTGTAAAAATCTCTGAGACAAGTGGTTTTCTAACATGGCACATTTAAAATATTGCCTTTCCAATTCTACTACATTTATTGGTCTTGTCAGATTTTCTATGTTTTCTTGGACCAACTTTGGCATCTTCTATTTTGCCAGAAGTTAATCTACTTCCTCTTACTTTCTAAAGTATTGTAGAATTACAGAAGATATTCTAAATATTTTGAACCCTTCTGACATCTTTTTCATACCTAATGTGGTTAATTTTTGCCCTCTTCCTTTTTATTGATCAGGACTCCAGGGAGTTGATTTGTTTTACTTTCCCTTTTAGACGCAGTTTTTGTTTTTATTTATTCTTTTTAATATTTAGTCACTTTAATTAAATTTAGCTTTTAACTTAATTTCTTCCTGCTCACTTATTTCTCCTCCGATTATTATATATGTTTGAAATACATAATGATTAAATTCACTTTGGGGATTTGGTACATATTCATATTCAATCTTGATCATTTTTATGCTCCTTCTGCCCCTACAGCTTCCTGTCTGCCTCCATTCCCAGATACTTCCTATATCTAGAGTGTCTACCTCCCTATTTCCTACCATCCCTGCTCTATTTTTCTCTTTAAATAATTTATGCTTTAGGTTTCTCATATTAGAGAAACAATGTGATATTTAACCTTCAGTGTCTGATTTATTTCACTTAATATTATGGTCTTATGATCCATCCATCCCATGAAAGACTCAAATTTATCCTTTTTGCTGAGTAGCATTTCACTGTGTATACATACCATGTATTCGTTACCCATTCATCTATTAATGGATATGTAGGCTGCTTCTATAATTTAGCTATTGTGAACTCTGTTGTATGTATTCAACAGAGTTGAATATGAGTATGTATGTATAAATGTAATATGATGATTTTAACTTTTGTGGGAAGATACCAAGAAGTATAGTTGGGTCAAATGATGTTTCTAAGTTTTTGAGAAATCTCTGTACTGATGTGCATAGTGGTTGTACTAGTTTACATCCTCACTGACAGGGTACAAGTGTTTCTTTTCCCCCACAACCTTGTTAGCATTTGCTATTCTTTGAGTCCTTGATAATAGCCATTCTGACTGGAGTGAGATGGAAGCTCGGTGTTGTTTTATTTGTAATTCTCTAATGTCAAAGATGGTGATCATTTTTTCACGTACTTATTGGCAATATATACATATCCTTCTGAGAAGTGTCTATTCATTTTCAGTTGCCCATTTTTATTTGATCTCTTAGTTGGAGAGATCTAATTTTTGAGGTCTTTTTATATTCTAGACATTAGTCCAATGTTTGAGGAGTAGCTGGCAAATTTATTTCCTATTTTGTAAATTATCTCTTTACTCTGTTGGTTGTTTCCTTTGTGGTGTAGAAGCTTTTTAGTTTGACATAATTCCATTTGTTGATTTTTGGTATTATATCTTGCACAGTTGGGTTCAAGATTCAGGAAGTCCTTGCCTATGTACAATTCTTTAAGAGTTTTACCTATTCTATCTTCCAGCAGATTCAGTGTTTCTCTTTTTATATCTAGGTCTTTGATCCATTTTGATTGGATTTTAATGCAGGGTGAGAGATATGAATTCATTCTTATACACATGGAAAACCAGTTTTCCAAGCACCATTTTTAATGAAGTTATCTTTTCTCCAGAGTTTGCTTTTGGACACTTTGTAAAAAAATCAGATGGATGAAGGTGCTTGAGGTTGTTTCTGCATTTTTTATTCTATTTCATTGGTCAACACGTGTATTTTTGTGGCAGTACCATGGTGTGTTTGTTATTTAGTCCTATAGTATAATTTGATGTCTGGGATTGAAATTGTAATATGTCCTGCTTTGCTCATGTTGTTCAGGATTGTTTTGGCTATTCTTGTTTTCTTCTGGTTTCTATATAATTTAAAAAATTTTTTTTCTAGTTCTGTGAAGAATGCTATTGGAAGTTTGATTGGAATTTCATTGAATCTATATATCATTTTGGTAATAAAGCCATTTGACAATTTTGCTTCTGCCTATAGAAGAACTGGGAAGTGTCAATCTCTTTTTTGGAGAACACTATACTTCTTAGTATAGAGATCTTTCACTTCCTTGGTTATATTAATTCTTAGGTATATAATTGTTTTGAAGTTATTGTGAATGAGCTTGTTTTCCTGATCTTTTTCTCAGTGGGTTAATTTTTGGTATATTGGAATGCTATTGATTTTTTGAATTGATTTTATTTTATTTTATTTTATTTTATTTTATTTTTTTTTTTTTTTTTTTTTGGTTTTTCTCCGGTACCGGGAACCGAACTCACGACCTTGCGCTTGCCAGGCAGGCGCTTTTGCCACTGAGCTAAATCCCCAGCCCCTGAATTGATTTTATAACTTGCCTCTTTGCTGAACTTGTGGATTAATTTTAACTGTCTCTGGAGGCATTTTTGGGAACTGTGTGAAGGATTATGTCACCTGCAAATAAGGATAATTTGACTCCTTCCTTTCCTATTCAAATCCCTTTATTTCTTTCTCTTGCCTAATTGCTCTGGCTATTTCAAGCACTGAACAGGAGTGGTGAGAGGGGACACTCTGGTCTTGTTTCAGATTTAGAGAGAATGCTTTTAAATTCCTCTCTTTAGTACGATGTCAGTCATGGGTGTGTCATAAATGGTTTTTATCAGTTGAGACAAAGTCCTCCTGTACCTATTTTCTTCAGTGTTTTTAATATGAATGGATGTTGGATTTTGTCAAAGACCTTTTTGCATCTATTGAGATAATCATGTGATTTTGTGTTACATTTATATGATTTATTTTGAACCACTTTGCATCTGGAATGATGCTAACTTGATCATGATGTATGTGGTTTGTTGCATTTTGTTTACAAGTATCTTGCTGAAGATCTTTACAGCTATGTTAATTAAAGAAATTGAGCTGTAGTTTTGTTTCATCGTGTCCTTATCTCATTTTGGGATCAGGGTAATGCTAGCTTAAAGTATTAAGTTTGGCAACATTCTTTCCCTTTCAAGTTCACGGAAGAGTATGAGGAGTATCAACATTAATTCTTCCCTGAAATTCTGCTAAAATTCTGTGGTAAATCAAGTCTTGGGGTTTTCTTGGTTGGTTGGGTTTGTATTACTGTCTATTTTATTGCCTATTATTGGTCTGTACAGGATTTTTATATTTTCTTCATTCACTTTTGGTAGTTAATGTGTGTCTAGGCATTTATCCATTGCATCTAGATTCTCTTACTTATTGGAATATAAATTTTTGAATTAGTTTCTTACAGTCCTCTGGATTTTAGGGGTATGCACTGTGATTTTACCCTTTTTGTTTCTAATCTCATTGATATGAATCTTTTATTCTTTTGGTAAATTTGGCTAAGGGCTTAACAATCTTGTTTATCTTTTCAAAGAATTAATTCTTTATTTCATTGATACTTTGCATTTTTAATCTCAATTTCATATCTGACTTTTAAAATTTCTTCTCTTCTCCAAGTTTTGAATTAAATTGGTTTTGTTTGGTTTTCATACATAGCAAAGCATAATTAGGTCATTTTTGGGGGGTTCATTCTGTTTTTCTAATATGGACATTCACAACCATAAACTTCCCTCTCATTATAGCCCATAGATTTTGGTATGTTGTGCTGTCATTGTCATTTGGTTCTAAGAACTTTTAACTTTTCCCCTTGGTTTCTTGTGTGACTCATTCATTATGAAAAAGTCCCTTACTTCATGTCCGTTTGTTTGCGTAGTTTCTATGGTTTCATTCACTGTTGATTTTTATTTTTATTCCTCTACGATCTGATAGTGTGTAAGAGATCATTTCAGTTCTTTTGTATTTACTTAATCATGCGTCATAGCCTACGATACGGTCTATTTTGGAGAACGTTCCACATGCCGCTGTGAAGATGTGTTAGATGAAATAGCTTAGTGTCTGTTACATCTGTTTGCTCAACAGTGTGGTTCAACTCTGGTATTTCTTAATTGATTTCTTTGTCTGGTTGTCCTATTTGTTAGAGTGGGGTATTAAAGTCCCCCACTATGATTATAATGCTGTTTATCTGACATTTTATGTCCTATCGTGTTTGTTTCATGAAATAGGGTATTTCAGCATTCAGTACGTACTTACTTGCAATTGTTATGTCTTCATGTTGAATTTTTTTTTTTTTTTTACCATATGCAGTGATCTTCTTTGTCTCTTCTTAACGGTTTTGGCTTGAAATCCACTTGGCATGAAAATAGGACAGCTATCCTGCTGCATTTTAGTTTTCTGTTGCCCAGAGTGTCATTTTCCATGCTTTCATTGTTAGTCTATGTATTTCTTTATGGATGAAGTTTGTCTTTTGTAGGTAACATATAATCAAATTTTGTTGTTCGGTCCAATACGCTAACCTGTATCTTTTGACTGAGGGTTAAGACTGTCTATTTTGAGAGTTATTATAGAAAGGTATTTACTGAATCATGGCTTGTATTATTTTTCCACTAGCTGATTCCTTTATTTTTTCTCTTTTGTTGAACTACTCTGCCAGTTAGTTGTATTCTTTTCTTTGGGCTGTTTAGTCACTTTGACCTCACTTTCTCTGTCTAGGATTCCCTTGAATGCTTTCTGTGAGGCTGGCTCATGAATTGCTCTAGCTGTTTTTTTATCATGGCTAGTCTATTTTTCCATAAACTTTTGAAGATTATTTTACAGGATACATTAATGTGTGTTGCAATTTTTTTTTCTTATACCTTGAAAAACTTTACTCCAATGTTTCCTGACATTGCTATTGTTTTAAATGGCTTGCTTTCGATGTTTTTTTTAAAAGAGGTTTTAGTATTCTCTATTTGTGCTGAATTTCTGGAATTTTGGCTATGGTGTGTTATGAAGAAATTTTTTTCTGGTTATGGCTATTTGGGATTCCTACTCAATTCTTTTGCTAGATTTGGAAAAAATTTTGGTATGATTTCAGTGAATTTTTAAATACATTTTATAACACCTTCTAGTATTCCTGTAATTCTTAGGTTTTTTTAAGGCCAGTGACTGATAGACCCAGTTTATATGGTATCTTGTTTTTAGCATATCACTGACTACATCATCTACTACATTAACCTTGTATTCAAGTCTGACATTCTTTCCTTAAACTGATCATTTCTTTTGCCCATACTTTCCATTGAATTTTTAATAACCTGGGTTCTGGTTGATTTTATTTCATAATATCCAGTTCTTTATTAAATTGTGATTCATTTCTTATAACATCTTGTTTAATTGAATAAGGTCTGTGTATTCTTTTAGATGTTAAATATTTTGTTAATTCGTTTATTCATTTACAGCCTCTTTGAGCTCACTGAACATCTTTTAGACTTGTTACTTTTAAATATCTTCATACAGTTTAGCCATTGTTTTGAGTTCTTTGCCTGTGACTTCCTCCACTTCAGTGCCTATGAAGTCAGCTTTTGTGGAGGCATCTTTTTGCCTCTTTTCCTTCTGTTTCTATTGTTTTTGTGGTGATGATTGAGGATCAGTTAAGACAGAAAAACTATTTAGTGTATGTTTCCCTGTGATGTGACCCTGGCTTGGGTTATATTTTAGAATTTGTACACATCTTCACTCTATTCAATGTAATATGATCTGTCCTGGTCGCTGTATTGCAAGGAGAGACTTTGTATTAGTTACATCATCATCTATAGAACAAACTAAGTATCAGTTGCATAACTTAAAAATTGTTTTACTGATTTTACTTTATGTGCAGTTACCTGGAAAGACTGCACTATAGTACTGATGGCAAGTAGGCTGGAAAGTGGGAGTAAAAAATTGAAAAGAAAAGGAAGAGAATAATTCAGAAAGAAGGAAAGAAAAAGAGATAATAGCAAATTGAAGAAAGAAAAGAGATAGGACTTTGTTGAGAGATACTATCTAAACTAAAGCATTAATTCATTATTAGTCTCTTTCACATATACATACAAGACATACATATGCCAAATGAATGGGAAAAAAAGAAAACAGAGAGAAATAAACACACACACATACATACACACACACACACAAAGAGTTTTTTTTAGTCTTGTTTATATATGCAGTATTTGGCCAGTGTTTGTGTATGTAGTATTTCTCCATTTCCTCCTAGGGAAATGGAGACACTGACTTGTAACAATTGTGTGAGGCTGAGCTCGTCTTCTGTGTTTAAGTTCAGGAAGTGGAATGTGTTTACTGGTCTTTGAGGTGTTTCTTCTAAATTTATTTTTCTCTTGCCTGACAGTGAGCGAAGGTGCTTGGAGGTCTGGATGGACCAGTGGACCCACCTCTCCTTTCTCTGCAGGCAGTGCTTTGCTTGGTTTTAGTTGTGCTCCTGTGGCCTAGGCTAGCTAGAAGGTTTTTGTCTCAGTCTTATGATCAAAAACTTTCAATTGCATTGAGGGGGTGTTGGGTGGGCATAGCGGGGTGTCAAGTATCCAGTCTTCCAGTGACTTGTGAAGGGGCCTTCTCAGTGTCTGCTCCCTTCCATCTGTGATAATCCCTGCAGCTGCTTACGTCTGCTCTTCCCATACTTCTCTGGGTAATTGTGCTGTGCTCTGGCCACACAAATCATTGCTGGCTCTCTGCCCATGCCAGTCTGTACGGGTCCCATAAAAATTTTCAATCCAACCTAGTCATTTGGGGTGCCTCGGGTCAGCACTGAGGGTCACAGAGCTCAGCGGATTTGGGCTGGTGGTGGAAGGGTTTGGGCACTGAGTGCTGTGGCCATCTGAAATGCAGGCAATGGACAAGGCATCTGGGTGGCAGAGCTCATCAGTGTTGAGGTGGTGCTGGGAGAGTGTCTACTTTGCTACTGCTCCGGGGTCTGTTCTCCTCCCTGGAACACACAAGTCACAACAATTGCTTCCGTGATGCAATTCATGAGCCACATGTTTATTAGTGTTTGGCCCCTAACTAGGGCTTTGCCTTGCCTTGCCTTGCCTTGCCTCTCTTCGCCTCTCCTTTCCTTTCCTTTCTTCTTTCTCTTCCCTTTCTCATTCCTTCTCTCCTCTCTTGTTTTCTTCTCTTTCCCCATCCCTTCCCTTCCTTTTCCTTCCCTTTACCCTTTCCATTTCCCTTCCCATTTTCTTTCCCTTTCCCTCCCCTTTTCCCTTCCCTTTCCTTTCCTTCCCTTCCTTTCCCTTTCCTTTCATTTCCTTTCCCTTTCCCTTTTCCTTTTGGTACTGCTCTGGTGTCTTCTCCCCAGATAGGAGTACCTTTTCTTTTTCCTTTTCCTTTTCCATTTCCTCCTCTTCCCTCCCCTTCCCAAAGGCCCACCAGTCTTGACTCAGTCTCTGCCTTTGGGATGATTCTCTGGCTGTCAGTTTCTCCAGTGCACTGGTCAGCAAACATCTCACCAGTGGGTTCTTTCCCCCAGTGTGCAGGGAGTTAGGACAGGTGGGCTCTGGTTGGTCATTATTAGGTTGTGTGCTGGTTGTAGCCCAACCACCACTATTCTACTTGGCTTCTTTGTTCAAGTCTTTAGAGCATTTCCCAGGATGGCATGGGTAGTGGATGAGGGATATAAGCTTTGGTGGGATTTAGGGGTGGCCCTGATTCTTTTTCTAAATACCCCTCATACTAGAATTCAGCTGGTAGACTTCAAATTGCCTTCTTATATTTGAGTCTTTGATCACCCTCATTTATGAGTGCTTGTTATTCCTTCTGTACATGTTCCAAGTGTCCTATGAGCACCACTGCCTCTAGCCAGTAGGATAGAAATCCCCTCACTTTCTTTTTGCTTGCTGTATTGTTTGAGTTCCAGTTTATTATTTCGCACACTTCAATTACTGCTATGGCTTTTTTTGGTTTATTTTTCTTATCTACTCAAATGTCTGGATTGAGTAATGAATAAAATTTATATTTATATTCTATATGGTTTAACTTAGACTCTGGTATATTTATTTTTTCTCAAATTCTGAAGACATGATTTTTATCTATTCGTAAATCGTAATTTTTTCTAGGCACCACTGAAGCTCTTTTTTGAGCTTTCTAAAAAGAAGTAGTAAACTTTTTGTATTTTCTTTGAGGTTACTATTATTCTGAACTCTTTGAACATTTCCTTTTAGAAATTCCATTTAAATTTTTTCTCCCTTGCATAGCTTTACTGTGGAAGCTCCTTTGGTTAGCTACTACATTGCAGGCAAAAGAAATGGCTTGGCCACATGTTTTCTCCTCCAGTGCTATCTCCTGTATCTTCTGTGGTGTTATAATGGGTCTTCAGGAATATTTCTAATTTCTACAGGATATTGGTCATGTCCTACAACTCAGCCAGCAAGCGCATGATCCAGAACAGTGCATTTGATGCCTGTAACACTACTACCCAGGAAATCTGTGCCTTTCTCTGGGTGTGGTTGGGACTCTGCACTCTCTCTTGTCTAATTTCAGAGAGTTTTACTGGTAGACTTCAGAATTCAGTCAGTGGTTCTGTGTTCTTCACTACCAAACCTTCAGAGAGCAGTGAAAAAAGCAGCAGAATTCTACATTTCCTTCTGAGTAGACATACTGAAGGGAAAAGTAATAGTGGAGAGAAAGGAAAGAAGTTTGTGAAAATCAACAGGCTGGTTCTTCAGTACTTCAATTATTGAGAAATGGGGCACAGTATTTATACTGTAAGAAAGTAATAGCTTATTGGGATTCATTTTGTTATTCTTTAGAGTCTCAGAAAACTATGGCCCAATTTATATTTATATTTTGTCAGTTAAAATGTTAGTATGATCGAAGTTGTGTTTATTCATCTTTAGCATCTGGTTCTTTGCTTCTCTTCGTGGAGATTTAGTGGGTGACTTGTGTGATCTATTTCAACATTCATAACCTGAAGTCTATATCTATTTTCAGTGGTAAACAAGTGGAATTCTTCAACTGACCAGTCTTGAGTAGCTGCCAAGTGACAGACAGTAAAGAGATAGCTGAGCCCTGAGACCAAGTAGGAGAGGAGTGTGTTCTTGTCACTCAGCTCTAAATCCACCTGTCTGTGCTTTGCTTGCTAATATTGGTGCTATGACTCTGCATAATATATTTACCTTTTGTCTCCTGCTCTTGGGTTATGTTTGCCCATAGGAGGTACTGAAGACTGAACTAGGAGACTGGTGGAGGGAAAAGGGACACACTGTCCAACTTGCTCCCTGTTCCTATCAGCATGACCCTTGCAATGCCCCTTCATCTTGGCAGCACACTTGATTCAAGTACTCAGCTTTTGCATTCAAATCCAAAGGAACAACCTTATCAAATACACTTAGCTGTAGCAGCATCAGCTGTACCAGTATCCTCTCCACCCGGAGCTCTGAATTCTAAGAAGAACTTGATATTATGCATACACACATGACATACATGTGTTTGGCAAGGTTTATCAGTGTTTGAGGTCCATAACTTACTTAAGTAGGACTGAGTAGGGTACTCAGAATTATATTAGTAAGTATTAAGGAGAAAGAGGAGGAAAGTTGTGGAATGCTTTAAATTTCCTCTGTTTGGACTTTCTTTAAGCTTTATGTGTATATTTTTTGGTAATGACTATTGAAAACTATACTGTTAGATTCTGGGGTGATATTTGACTATACTATGAAATAATTACATACTATGAGAGCAGATTGAAAGAATAATAATGCAGAGTGATGAGAGAAAGGTCTAGATTGCAAAATAAAATCCTCATGCAAACTTATGAACAACTTCATTATTTTTATAGGTCTACTCCTTTGTGTGAAATATTTAACAAAGACACAGACGTCTGATCAGGGCCTGCAGATCTTGCCAAGATGCACTGTGAGCAAGACTTGCCAGTGGGTGGTGAAACACGGGTCATCCTGCAGTCCACATCTGTGAAGCCAGGAATAGGTAGGTGGAGGCACATAGCCTAGGGATTGTGTGCTTGGGAGCTTGACATTGTTATTTTAAACAACATAATTTAAACATTATCCTTTATGAGCCAATGCTTTTCATCTTCATTTTTAACTGTAAATAGTGAAATTTCATAAACTTAGACTTTGCCTAGTGTATTTTCTTACAACTAGAATATCTACAGCTTTTAATCACAGAGAAATTTTCCAAATGACTAAGGTTATAGCATACTTCATGTATTTTTTCTTTAAAATCTAGGTGCTGTTGTACTGATGTTTTGTAGCTTGAAGATTTTTCAGTCTTGAACATAAACAGACACATATATGCATATATGCTTATTTAATACCCATCTGATGAATTTTGGAATATCTTCCATTTCTGAATACATTGCTATAATTTAACTTTCTTAACTTTCTTAATGCTATATTGAGAATTTTTTAAAATATTTTAATCCTATTTCTTTGTAAATTCAATTTGGCAGAAATGATTTTTTTAAATTTTTAAGTGAAAAAAATGAAACAAAATTTCAAAACAAAATAATAGGAGAGTAACAATAGTTAATACATAGCATATGCTATCTTTAAATTAGTTACTCAGAGTACAAGACATGGGTATTTAATTGTCCAAACAATATGAGCACAAACCTTTGTTTTTAATGAACTAATAGAAATTAGTAGTATGACTATCTTAACTATCTTGTGTGCATGTACATAGTTAATTTTTTAAGTTTTTTACTTTAAAGAGAATAAAAATAAAAAACTTTAAAAATGATAGAGAATTCCAAAACAAGATGATCAGAAATCAACATGGTTGTTGTATTGCACATTGTTATCTTCAAAGTAGTCGTTCAAATTACCAGATATAAGCATGCAAATTTGGTCAAAAATTGTTTAAAAAATAAGCATTAACTGTTCCTTTTAATAAACCAATAGAAATTAGTAGTACAATTATATTAGCTATCTTTTGTATATACATTTATATATATTCATTCATTTCTTGCTTTTCTCCTTTCCCTTATCCCAGTTCTTTCCTTTTCAGCAGTTTTTTTTTCCCTTTTACAATATCTATTGTACTTTTATCTTTTGTTTACTCTTTCAGTTTCTTCCATTAGGGAGACAATATGGTGTTTACACATGTGGGTGTGATTTATACTCTTATGAGTATGGTCTCTAGTTGCATCCATTTACCTGTAAAAGCCTTGAGTTTATGTTTCTTTACAGCTGAGTAATACTCCATTGTATAAAAATACCACATTTTTTTTATTCATTCTCAGTTGATGGGCATTTGGATTGTTTCCAGGATTTAGGAATGACAAATTGTACTGCTATGAACATGGGTGCACATATATCACTGTGTTATGATGCTTTCAGATTTTCTGGACAAACACCCAGAAGGGGAATAGCTGGGTCAAAAGGAACCTTTAATCCTAGTTTTGTGAGGAATTTCTACACTGATTTACACAGTGGTTGCAGCAGTCTACAGTACCACCAACAGTAGAGAAGTGTTCCTTTCTCCCCACAGCCCCTCCAGCATTTGTAATGGGTTGATTTCTTTATGATAGCCATTCTTTCTGGGGTGAGATGGCATCTCAGTGTTGTTTTTTTGGATTTCTCAAATGACCAATGATGTTGAACATTTTTTCATATATTTATGTGCTATTTTTAGTTCTTCATCTGAGAAGTGTGTATTTCATTTTTTGGTGCCAATTTTTGGATTGGGACTTTGAATTTGGGGGGCCTGATTTTTAAAAATTCTTTATATGTTCTAAATAGAAGTCCTTTGTCTGAGGGACAGTTGGCTAAATTTTTCCCAATTCCTAGGTTTTCTTCTCACTCTGTTGGTGATTAATTTTGATGTGCAAAAACTGTTTAATAACATGAGATCCCAGTTGTTGATTCTTTGGAATATTTTCCATGCAGTTTGGTTTTTGTTAATGAACTATCTGCTTACACCCATGTCTTTAAGATTTCTACCTACCTTCTATTCCAGTAGATTTAATATTTCTGTTTTAATGTTTAGATCTTTAATCCACTTTCATTTTAGTTTAGTGCATAATGATAGACATGGGTCTAGTTTTAGTTTAGCATGTGGAAAACCAGTTTTTCCAGTACCACTTATTAAATAGGCTATCTTTCTTCCAGTGAACATGTTTGGGCCCTTTGTCAAAGATGAGATGGCTGAGTGTGCTTGTAGCTGTGTCTGCATTTTCAAATCTATTATGTTGATCCTCATGGCTGTTATTTTGCCAGTATCATGTTGATTTTACCACAGTAGCTTTGTAGTATAATTTCAAGTTAGGGATTGTGGTGCATCCTATATTTCTTTCATTTCCCAGGATTGTTTTTGCTATTCTAGTTCTCTTCTGGCTCCACATGAATTTTAGGAATGTTTTCTGTAAATCTGTGAGACATACCAATAGTATTTTGATCGGGATTGCATTGAATCTGTATAACAGTTTTGGAACTATGGCCATTTTCACAATGTGAGTTCTTCCTATCAATGAGCAAGGAATATCTTTCCATTTTCTGAAATCCCCTTCAATTTCTTTTTTCAGAGCACTGTAGTTTTCACTGTAGTTCTTTTACTTTCTGTATTAGATTGATTCCTAAGTATTTCATTTTTTTTGGTGCTATTATGAAGGGTGTGGTTTTCCTAATTTCTCTCTCAGTGAGTTTGTTGTTTGTGTACAGGAATGCTATTGATTTTTGAGTGTTGACTTTGTATCTAGCTACGTTACTGAATTTGGTTATTAAATCTAGAATTCTTTTGGTGGAGTGTTTGGTGCCTTCTAAGTAGAGTATCATGTTATCTGCAAATAATGATAATTTCACATCTTTCCTATCCTTATTCTTTTTATTTTTCCCCTGGTGCAACCACTGTGTAAATCAGTGTAGAAATTCCTCACAAAACTAGGATTAAAGGTTCCTTTTGACCCAGCTATTCCCCTTCCGGGTATTTGTCCAGAAAATCTGAAAGCATCATAACACAGTGATATATGTGCACCCATGTTCATAGAGCAATTAGCCTGTAATTGCTCTGGCTAATATTTCCAGAACTATACTGAAAAAGAGTTGTGAAAGTGGATTTCCTTTTCTTGTTCCTGATTTTAATGTGAAAGCTTTCAGTTTTTGTCCTTTAATATGATGTTGGCTTTTGGTTAATTATAGATGGCTTTTATGAGATTGAGGTAAAGAGCATCTATCATGATTTTCTGTAGGGTTTTTATCATGAATCAAAAGCTTTTTCCGCATCTACTGAGGCAATCATGTGATTTTTGTCTTTGACTCTGTTTATTTTGTGCATTACATTTATTGACTTTTGTATATTGAAACATCCCTGAATTCCTGGGATGAATCCCACTTGCTCATGATGTATAATCTTCTTGATTATTTACTGCATCCTGTTTGCTAGAATTTTTTTGAGGAGTGTTGCATCTATGTTCATCAGGGAGATTGGCCTGTAGTTTTCTTTTGTGGCTCGGTCTTTCTCTGGTTTGATATCAGTGTAATATTTGCCTCCAGGCATGAGTTAGGGAGAATTGCTTCAGGGAGAATTGCTTCCCCTTTTATTTCGTTAAAGAGTTTGAGGAGTATTGGTGTCAAATCTTGTCCAGATTTCTTGTAGTATTCAGCTGTGAATTCATCAGGACCTGGGTTTTTCTTTGTTGGTGTTGACTGCATTTTCAATTTCATTGACTGATATTGTGTTATTCAGAGTTTTTATATCTTCTTGATTCAGCTTTGGTAATTTATACATATTTAGGAATCTCTCCATTTCTTCTGTCTTTTCCATGCTATGAGAGTAAAGATTTTTGCCACAGATATTAATGATCTCTTGAATTAGCACAGCATCTGTAGTGATTTTACCCTTTTTATTCCTTATTGCATGAATTTAATTTTTTTTCTTTCCTTTTTTGTATAAGGTTGGCTAGGGGTTTATAAGTTTCATTTTAAAGAACCAAAGAACCAACTCTTTGATTCATTAATTCTTTGTATTGTTTTCTTTCTTTCCATTGTTTTAATTTCTGCTCTGATCTTTATAATTTCCTCCCTTCTTTGGGGTTTAGGCTTGACTTTCTCTTCTTTTCTAGAAGCTTGAGGTACAGTACAAGGCTGTTTATTTGTTTTTGTTCTGTTTTCCTAATATGAGAATGCATTGCTATAAATTTCCCTCTGAGGACTTCTTTCATTGCGTCCCACAGGTTCTGGTAAGTTGTATTTGCTTTTTTGCTTGATTGTAGATATTGTTTAATTTCTTATTTGATTTCATCTGTGACACATTGATTGTTCAGGAGGGTATTATTTAATTTCCATGTGTTTATGGAGTTTTTATGAATTCTTTTGTCAATAATTTCCAGTTTCATTGCACTATTTTCAGATAATATGCATGGGATAATTTCAATTCCTTTGCATCTATTTAAGCATGTTCTATAGGCTAGTATGTAGAGTATTTCAGAAAATGTCCCATGTGCAATTGTGAAGAATATATATTCTGATGTCATTGGCTGGGATACTAGATAAATGTCAAAATGAATTTTTTCACAATTGGTTCAGTTCTGTTATTTCTTTTCTGATTTTTTGTTTAGTTGATCTATCTCTTTGTGACAATGGAGTATTAAATTTCCCCATATGATTGCGTTATTTCTTATTTTAGTTTTCATGCCTATTAATAATTGTCTTTTATGGTTGGGTGCTCCTGCATTTGGTGCATATATGTTTATGGTTAACTCTTCTTCTTGCAGTTTTCCCCTCACTAGTATTTGGTGATCTTCTTTATTGCTTTTGATCATTCTTGGTTTGAAGTTCACATTGTCAGTAAACAGGATAGCTACCCCTGCTTTTTTCTGGATTCCTGTCACATAGAATATTACTTTCCATCCTTTGACTTTCAGTCTATGAATTTTCTTTTGAGTTAAATGTGTTTCTTTTTTCATTTTAAAGGTAAAAGAACTAAAACATATTAACAAATGCACAGACATTTGCAAAGAATACAGAAAC